CTCAGTCCAAATGCCTAGGATTGCCACAGCTCAAAGACACTCTCTGCCAGACTTCAGGGACGAGCACTGGATGGTTTTGGTGCAGGAAACTGTACTGTCTCTCTTCTTTGAACTTCCACAGCTCTGTATGAACTGGATATAAATTCCTAAACTTGGGGGAAGAAATATTTGAAAGCAGATTTAAGCATCACAGTCAACCCCCTTTTGTGGAATGGTCTGAACTAACTTTGTCACCTTTTCGACTGACAGAGTGCAATGCAGATCTGTCTTCAAGTCTCCACAGCATCACAGGCCTTTATGTCCTTTAAAATCCAAGACAACACATTTTTTTCCAGTATTATTGGAAACAAGCAGCAAACAAATCTGCTTAGACACCGAAGACTTACATCATATTCTGTGAAACAAGAATAGGCCTTCAGCCTAGCACTGCATTGAAGAGGATTTCCCAGAGCTGGAGGACACTGACATTTTAAGTCTATAGTCAGCTCTCTACCTGTAAGCACAGCTGTTCTCAAGAAACCTTGCTTGACAAAGGACAAGGTCCAAGATCAGAGCAGAAACAGGACTTGGAAAATAGCACTTGTGAAAAAGGCTTGCAGAGCACCACACCAAGATGTGCCAGGCACTGAGGAGCAGACAGATCTTCTGTGCTTCTCCCTGGAGCACAGACCAACCTCTGCCCCATGCTAACTCAGAACCGCCCAGCTGCTCCTCTTCAGCTGCAGAAAGAGCCACACACATCTTATTTTACCAAAGGTTTTAGCACATGCTGAATCAAAAAGCCACACATGTATTTCAGAACTTCTCACTCTGCAGAATGACTCTGGTTCCATGCCTTCCTAAATTCCCTTCAGACAGCACCTGGAGGTCCCTTTCATTAGATATCCAAGGTGACCCTACAATACCCATTACTTTGTTGACATTGAAGATCTCTGCCCATAAATCCCTTCACACCAAGTGATGCTTGAACAAGACCCTGTGAGACGGAGATAATCACCTTGCCACATTAGAAATTGATCCCATCCCGTGTCAAAAGCAGCTATCACAACTTAAATTATTTTTGTTCTGCTTCCTTTTTTCCTAGAAAAAGGACTCTCACTCAGACACAGTAAAGTGGATGCATTTCAAGAGCAAATTTAAAGCACATCAGAGGGTTACAAAGAAAAAAAGCACACACTCTCTGGGACATTTTTCTTCAGTTCTCTCAGGCTGCAATTATACAAACACATAGGCCTGTACTTCATTTTAGTACAGAAACCAGCAGGTTTTGTATCACAGATGTGGAAAGGGCAGGCACACTCCCATCTGAAGAATCAGGGCCAAAACCGTGGCCTCTTACTGGCGTGAGGGCTGAGAAATCTCTCCCTCCACAAGACAGAAGTGAGCAAAGCTAGGTCACACAATTGGAGCAGAAGCTGTAGGGGAAAAAAACCCAACCTTGTTGGTAAAACCACAGTAGATGGGTCTGCAGCACCAGTTTAATTTGGTTCTTTAATTTGGGGAAAAACTGCAGTCTGAAGAGCTTTCCATTTCTATGCACATTCACATGGGACATTTGAAAGGATTCCAATACAGTACATATTACAGAAAAAACGCCAAAGGGTTAAGCTCATAATCACACAAAAGGAAAACTAGGGAAGCACAAGCCTAGAGTATTCCTAATCCCAGCTCACATATTGGAGCAGCAGTTTTAAGCAAGTGCTGTGGCCACCTTCTTGCTGTTGTCCGGCTGGAACTCATCCGGGTGCATCTTACCTCCCAGAAGCCTTGGGGAAAAAAAGAGACATAAAAAAAAAAAACAAACCTGTTTTTTACAATCTGGGAGGCATCCACTCAGCAATAAATAGCACAGCATTCATTTAGCAATATCCCCTTTCCTCCACCCACTCAGCCTGGGCTAAGCTTTTAGCACCTCATAGTCTATTCATTCTTAAAAGCCATCAGGATGCAAACAAGTACTCAGAGGGGATCAAGGATCTGTGCCTTCCTGTGTATGAATCATTACAGCAGACTCACCGTGTTCAAGTGAGTCTCAGTAAAGGTACTTTCATGAGAGTTTCTCTCCAAGAACATGAATAGAACGGTTGAGTAGAACATTCTAGTCTGCACAGGCTCTTGAAATGCAGCTGCCTGTCCTCAAGTGCCTGGCCCTGTGACATGTCCAGCAGCATCAGCAGGAGCCAGGGGACTCAGCTGAACTGTTTGATTGTTCCCTTCCCAGATACTGCGACTTCCACGCAGGACTTCTTACAGCTTCACTCCACAACTTGAAAGTTTCCTATCACAAATGATTATCTAGTCAATGTTATAGACAGCTTCACAATCTGAGTTGCATTGCTGGTTTTCCAGAAATTTGGCATAGCATGTTAGCAGATGATCTGTTTGGCATTTGAAGAGCTTTGCTTTTTTACATTGGTCAGATTTAAGAGTTTGGCCTGCCCCAGGTAGCAGCTTATTTTACTGGCTTTCTGTATTGATACAGAGATCAAGGATCTCAATCATAAGCAGTCTTGCTGAGCAGGAGCTGTACAAATGCTGAACAAAAAGACATCTCATGCTTTTTACTTCACTTTGAAATAGATATTTCGATGTGAGACAAAAAGATCTTTCTTCCTCACAATAAGTACTCGGAGCAGCCTAAAGAGAGATGGCCAGCAGAAAAAAGTTCTTTCATGGAACTCCTCAGAGGAGGGGCTGAATAGATTGGTAAGCAGGCCTAGATCTGAAGCAGGCTTTGGGAGACTTCCACAAAGCAGTGGTTCACTGTGTTTTTTTCTCCCATCACTTAAAATCACCCATATAAATACATACACAGAGCAAACATGGATTTCACTCAGCATGTTCCCAACAGTGTCTGCTTAATTTTTTCAATGCATCAGTTCTTTGCTCATAAAGGCACCAAGTGTGTACTCATAAAAGTACACACTAAAAATCCTATGAATTTCAATCTTTCCTTTTGGGTGACGATTTTACTGTTATTGTTTCTAGACAAACATGCTCCTGACAACTCCATAGTTCATTGCAATTCCCAAAAAAAGCCCAGAAAATGCTGACTAACCCTGGTTTTGAGGGAAAGAATAAGTGATGATGCAGACAGCTGTGAGACATAACCTGGTCAAAGTATGAAATTGCAAGGCCATGGAAACAAAACCCCTGTGAATGCCTATGGAGAGCTGTATCTGGCACGATAGCTCTTATTCACTGTCACACACACACCGCTTTTGCATCAGCTGCTGCTGTGGACCTCAGATCTAAAGAGCTGCAGAGCCCATTAGATGTCTAATCACCCATGATTAATTCAGATGGAGCTTTCCCATTCACAGGAACACTCCCTGCTTCCGAACAAGAACAGCAGTGTTCTCAATTGTGTCTCAACATGCTCTATAAAGTGTGATGAAAGAGGACAAGAAATTTTCCTCGAGAAAGACAACAGTCTACTCTTGTTTTAATAAACTTGTACATTTAGTTCTTCATGAGTGCAGACTTTTATTACCTGTGGCAAGCCAAAACTGCTAAGCAGCACCCGCCTCTGGGATAGCCCCTTTAGAGCTCTCAGAGCCCACATTAACATGCCAAACACGCTAAGGTTTACTTCTCTTTGTCCCTCTCACAGGCCCATCTGCTATTTCCTTAAAGTGAGACCCAGTTTCAACAACACACACCACTCACACGGAGAAAGATACGTTCTGGCAGGTTTGTAGCTACATCTGCTGTCCCTTGCATAAAACTTGTATATTTTAGAAATAGCAAGTCATGTCCTTGGCAGCCCATTCTCACCTGTGTACTACAGCAGACAAAAGCTAAGTAGGTTTCTCTGAATCAGCCTCTAGCTTTAGGGTACACATAGATGGAACTATTCCCCGCAGGTACTTTAACTCAAGGAAGAAGGTGGGTTGAGGGTAAGAATTTTTCTTACTTAAGGTGAGTGCAAGGTAAGAATTTTTCAAATTACATATATTATTCAGACAATTCACTTCTACAGGACCCAGAATTGTGCACTGAAAAGGCACCATACACCTCACAGACAGGAGTGCACACCTACAGTGGAGAAAGGGAACAAGATGGGGTACACAGACAGGGCTGGTGCAAAACAACAAACAGATAAAACCCAAAAAAACACACACCAGATTCTATTAGGGGTCTTGCACTGAGACACCCAAAATCATCAGTTCTAACTTAAAGTCCCACCCCAAACCCTTGGATGACATTCTAAGCTCTCTCAATGATTTCTGTGTCACTCCCTGCCTCAGTTTCCTCAGTTACACAATCAAGAGATTAAATCTTATTTGCCAATACTGAATGTGGATGGCAGCAGTTTGGGGGGCAGGGCGGTGATGGTGGTGCTGTTTTCTTCTTTTAATCTGGGACACTGCCCATGAATTACTGCTTCATTTAATGCAAAAGCTCTGACTTTTCTTTTTAACAACTGCAGAAGCCCCAACCTTGAATTGGGACATGCAGTTCCAATTGAAAATACCCAGAAATCCTCTCCCAGCCATAAAATTTCAGGAAGAACCATGCCAGCTGCAACAGCCAAATTCTGCTTCTATATACATTTCTATGTGAAATGTAAAGAGATAATAAACCCAGCGTGGAGACCAAAAAGCTCCTCCAGTATTGTACTGAGACAGCCAAACCTTTCTCTTGCCATCAGTTGTACCAAACAACCCCTTGGTACTTCAGTTCCAGCCAGACAACAATGTGAATGCTACCTTATGGAAAATGAATTGTTGTAGCAGCAAAAAGAGGTGTTACAAGTTTCCAGGTAAGCATAGACAAACAGGAAACTAAGATGGATAAAGCAAGAGCAAATCAAAGAGAACAGCCTAACATTACAGAATAGATGTCAGGAGCTCTACACTCAGCTGCCCAATCCAGCTCTCCAAACATACCCAAAGGGTGAAACAAGCTGCTCCCACCCACAGGCTGTGACTAGGGTCTGCAGCAGCAAGGTGACACTGAGACAAATGAACCCAGAAAGTACAGAGAGCCTTCCTTACCTGCTGCCCTGCACCTTCCCCACCTGGGCCTGCCAGCTCCATCCAGGCAGGGCTCTCCTCCAGTGCCTCTTGGGATGAGGGGACAAGGCCAGTGCTTCCCTGTCCCAGCCAAGCTGCTCATTCCTACAGTAAAGACAGTTTAACACAGCTGGTTTTTAGTGTTTGAACGCTCTGCAAACTGAGCCCACACACAGTCCTCCTGCCCAGCTCCAAACCCTATCAGCTGAAGCGGTGTCCCTGAGCACCTGGGTGCTTTCAGACAGCCACAGGCCCTGATAGCTGCAGCCACCATCCCTCAGCTCTCACAGGGGAAGAAGGAAAGAGAGAAATTGCTAGAAAAGAGTCACCTTCCTCCCAGTGTCCTGCCCAGGGCTGTTATTGACTCCTTGCTGAGAGAAGTGTACCAGTCCCTCAGCACTTTTCAGGACTAGGCTCTGGAGCCTGTGGGGAAATGACAGCTTTGCCCAGAGCTGAGAAGGGCATGGGCAGAAATTTGGAAGCCTCTTTCTCCTCCTGGTAAATTATGAAGTGTCTTGGGATCCATTTTCAGATTAGCAGAGTACTTCAGGCATCACAGGGTTTGTACTCTTGCAGTACAGAAGAAGCCGTGGCCTATTGTGGGTTGGCCACCAGCTGAGGTACTGCATTGCTTTGAAAATCATGAGGTGATACAAGGCCAGAGCACACAGTTAATGCAGTTTTTAAAAGATCTCTGCACAGCCACAAGTCACTGTGTGATTTTACATCCTGCTCTGGTCATCCTGTGAAACTACCTCTACCTCTCCCTTGAGTTCACTTGCATCTTTACTGTGAGTAAGAAGAATAAATGAAGCTTTGTTTAACAGGGAGGTTAACCTGCCCTCTCAAACCAAAGAAAATGTGTGGTTAAGGCTGTGAGTTTCCCTGGTGCATCAGAATTATCAGTTTCATGGAAAGAAAGGAAGAAAGCTCTGGCCTACTCAATTTCCCAGGAAGAAGCCTTGGTGCTGTAAAGTCTGTCCTCTGTCAATAAAGGAAGCTATAAGACTAAGACTTAGTTCATTCCTCCCACACATGACTCCTTTAAATTACCACATCACTGCCCTAGGTTGATGCAGTTTATTCTGTTTTCTTCACCATCTCCTGTTTGTCCTTAGAACTGATGAAATAATTTGTCCTGTAACTTGATAGTAAAATTCACCTATAGAATGCACACAAGCTCCCAACTGGCTGCCAGATGGCAAGAAAGCCATCTGATTTCTATTAACTCCATTGGATTTGAACCTGGGAGCTGAAAAGCCCCCACATCTCACAGCCAGTCCTTGGCTGAGTCCCTTCCCTGCTGCTCTCCTTTTTTTGAAGACTGAGATTCCATTCTCACAAGTCTGGCCAAGCACCACCTCCAGCCCCAGCTAAACTAAACCCAGCTACCCAGGTGAATGATGGGCACAAACTTAACTATGCATATCTTTGAAATAGTGTCTGAGCAGACACTTGGAGGTGAGCTCTCCCACAACAAGTGTAGCCAAGCCACCTGCATCTGCGTCTTCCAGAAAAATAACTTCAAATATAGTAATGATTTTAAATTCAGTAATTGTGACAGCTCACACCACATTGCAGTTTGAAAGCCATGAGGCAAAGGTATGCTAATCAACCCAGATCTATGTCAAAGCTTATAACAAAACCCAACTCTCTCTGCCTGTAGTGTTAAGCTGAGACTAAAAACACAACCTTTCTTTATATTAACACCTCCTCTGTGCAGTGTCATTGAGAATAATGAGATAAAAATTGCAGCAACTGTAACTGGAATGGAAATTAGTTGGAAGTCCTTGATAAGATTGTCTTCATTGGAAGGTGATACTGCTTTGTTAGCTTCCAGCTGACACACAGAGAACTGGCAGTAGCTCTGTGGTCTTGCACAGGAGCCTGAAATGGATCCACTCCCACCTCTTCAGTTGAATGAATGTGTGTGAATGTCATGCACTGATTTTTTATATTCAGCCCAGAGGTGTCCTTCACGACCTGGGGGCTCAGGCAGTTGCCCTGAGAACTCACCCTAGAACTGGAGATTTTGACAGGAAAGTTCTGTCAGATGTTACACCACAACTTTGTTTGAAGGGCGTGGAGGAAATGCTGTCCAACCTGTTAAATGCGTAAAAGGCCCTTTGAACTGTAGTTACCTGTTGGCACAGAGCTCAGTTAGGCAATCTTAATTGTTTGCATTTGATTAGACATATAAAGAAAATGTGGAGCTGTGTCACATTGAACTAAGATATTTTCAAAAAGATGTGGATAAACAGCTCAGGAACACACTGCATGAACACTTGGAAGTCTGCCAGGGGGAAAACAGAGGAGACCTCAGGTCAGCCTTTTACATTCATTCATCTGGTTGCATCTATTTTACATCTATTCACATCACCATCCTCCTCCTTAAGTGCTTAAGCGGGTTTTGGTAGAGCACAAAGAAGGAAAGTTTTGAGTGGACCAACACAGAATCAGTATCCTCATATTTGAGTGGACAAAACTCAAAATCAGTATCCTCATGGTAGCCAGTCCTCATGTTTGGACTGGGTTCTTCCACAGCATCCACATTTTGGGAGAGTGAGGGCTCACGTTCCAGACCCAGGTTCAGGTTGCACACATGCAAAGAAACACAGCAATAGGAACTTATCATGGGGTTTTATGGGACTGGTGGTAGCCTACAAACACACCGGGGAGCACAAAGTGCTCTGGTCACCCTGTGTACAGGCATCCCCCACTCCCTGTGGCCGGGCTCTCAGAGGGCATTTATTGTGTAGTGTGGGAGTTTTGGTGATGGGGAGACTACCAGAGATACAGAAAGGCAGCTAGTTTGGTTAACAGAGGATGTGCTGTGATTGTTTTGTAGAGGAAAAATATAGTGATGACTAAGGGAGGAAAAAAAGGAGAAGAAGAAGATATTTAATGTCAAAGGGCTCCAGTGTACATCCTGATTTTTAGCATCAGCCTTCTCGGGCTGACACGCATTTATATGGAATAATTCCTGGATGGTGAGAAAGCAAATAAATGTAGTCCTGTAGGCTATATGTCAGAATGTTCATGACAGCTGTAGATGATTTATAGCTTACCAGACACTGAGATCAGTGCTTGGACCACACTGGCTCTTTCCCTAAGACAAGGCACAGGTCTACATAACACAGGGAGACTATGGCCTATCTGTCCATCTGAGACACTCATGGGACATCAGATTTCTGATGCCAGGGGAAAAAAAGTTTCCATTTACTGCCTCCTGGCTCTGCCCCATGAGCTGCAGCATGTCCTGTGCACCACTTGAGCCGCTCTGTTTGCTTACAAAGCAGATGTTTGACAGGCACAGAAATAATGCCTTCAAGATCTGCAACAGCTGTGGCCAGCTCTTATTCAGATAAGAGGCCCTGTATTTCTACAGCCACCCAGCCAAGGCCTTATGCAACTTGGTTAAATTGCCTTTTGAGACGCTGCCTTGCCAGCTCGAGTAAGTGGCAGATACCTCTCCATGGGAGAAGAAAATAAGTCTTTTGTTAGACGTCAATTTGCTTTTCCTTTGGGCTAACATTTTGAAATACTTTATTTTTTCTTTGTTTTGGGAAGGTTTTCATAATGTGGAGACTTCATGCATCAAAACATGTGCTGCTCCTGCCCCTTCCAGCCTTCTGTGCTTTGGTGGGGAGGCATGTCAGTTCTGTACACAGAGCTTTCCTGAGGTCCATTGTTGGACTCATCAGTATTGAGTGGCCATTTTCATAACCCCAGACCTCATCCTCTCTTGCTGACACTGTTCACTCTGTATAGGGTAGAGTCTACAGCTGACATGGAAAATTTAAAAGATTCTCTTTCTGGAACTAAAATACCATTCCGTAACTACCCTTTAAGGAAGGGGAAAGAGAAACCTGGCTGAACTCGTCAAAATCCTTCTCTCAAGAAGCAGAAGAGAGTCCCAAGACATTTTTGCACACAAATGGGAAATGTAGGAACATATAATACAGAGGTACCCACCCTGTGTGGACACAAGCCATCTGTAGTAGCTTAGCACTGACCTAGTATTGTACCCACACAATAGAGCAAACCCAGCATCAGGGATTAGTGCATGGTCCCAACAGCACCAGGTGCTACAGACTCAGCTTTTGTTGGTTTAGATGAGTTTTTCTCTAGTCCCTATCTATGATGTTATCAAAACATCCTGGTTCCCTGAAATGACACCTGGCTCAGAATTTAAACACAGGAGCTGTGTACATGAGGCAACAGAAGGTCTACCTGGCACATTTCACATGTGGTTTTTTTGACCCTAGAAGTAACAGGATATGTGCTGATGACATGGAAAAGCTGACACCAAAGCAGCCAGAATTAACCACAGTTCTTTAATTAGGAACACCATGGGAAAAATGCAGATAGAAGAAAAACTTCCATATTTCCAATGAGAAGCTGAGAATAAAACTGAGCTTCATCAGCTCAGACATGAATTTCCTCCAGGTTGGTTGCTCCAGAAGAGGCCATCAAAAAGGCAGATCTAGGAAACAGAAAAAACGTGAGTAAAGTTCAAAACAACAGCACATGACTACTCTTTGCAAAACAGGAGTCATAAGAAGTCAGAAGAACTATAACCACTTCACCCCTCTATTGTACCTCCTCTGGAGGATTTCACTAGAGACACATGCCAGATTGTGGCACCTTTACTCTGCACCTCACTATCTACATGACCCCATTTGATTTTATGGTTCAAAGCAGTATCTGAAGTACAAAGGGATCAGACTCCTGCTCTAGCTGGTGCAGTGTAAGTCAGCTTAGCATTGATGAAAACAGAGTAAAAAATTACTGTCACTTTCCCTTGGCATTAGTTTTGATATTCAGAGTCCAGTGTAGCATCACTTACAAATACAGAAGTCTGATAATCAAGGTACTTGTCAAGGAAAAATTGAAAACTCCCTGAGGTGTTAAGCACTGCTCTCAGTGGTTGATAGACGACATATGCAACATTATTTGCTGCATGAAAAGGTATGAAGGGCTCTGGCCTGCTCTCACACTTGATCTTCCAGATTCATATGAGGGACAAGCTCAGCTCCTCCTTGGAAAGGCCACTGAGGTCAGGCCCCCTGAGGTAAGGGAAGGTGAATCAGGAGCCTGCTCTGTGCTGCATTTCACCCTTGCTGAAATGAAGGTCACCCACAATGGCAATTCCACGGTGAGTAAAGTGGTGATCATTAGATCATCACAGCATGGCACAATCCTATTGTTGTTATAATGATCCTAATAAAAAAATCTTCATGAGGCTTCTCTTGGGTGTAGCTATCATTAATAAGCATTTCCTCTTGCAATTTATCTCAGTTAAGTTAAATGAAAATTCCACTAAGAATGAATGTCCATATAGCAATGGTATGCATGACATGGTCCTGCAGGTAGCCAACATTTAAAAGAACTAAAAATACCTTAAATGTTTTTATGGACATTTCACAGCACTGAGAAATTAAATTACTTTAGATAGGAAGGGATTAGAATAATTTTTTTCTGGCCTATATTGTGGGGGATTTCTGGGAACCTGAAATCATATGGTGAATCCATTCTTCAAAGGAGAAAGACATGGAGCAGAATTTCCTAGAGATTCTCTGTTGTTTTCTCAACTCTCAGGTGCAAATTGTGTTGATTCTTCCCTTTTGGCCTCCTCCTCTGTATTTTGAGTGTTTAGAGGAAGTCCTCCTTGGCTCTTGCCAGGCTTATTGAGGTAGGGACTGCCTGAAGGTCCCCTGCCTGTACATCCCCTTCACAGCCCAGGACTGGGGGTCCTCTGCTCTGCCATAATCAATCAGCATCTCAAAATCCTCGTTAGAATCTTTCTGACTTTGTGTCATGTTCAGGTGTTGAAGTGCCCACTAATACTAGAGATGCTTCAGTGTAGGAATCAGACGTAATTAGAGCCTGTACCTTCGTGCTTCAGCCAATAGCCCACATTTTGAATCAATGCAAGCAGCTGAAACACTGATGGAGGGCAGTGACCCTCTCATTTGTCAGTGGCACAGAACAACTAAAATATCAGCTGCCCAAGAAGATGAGGAAGAATGCTTTGAAGCACCAGTGCAGACCTGGGAGCTGTTTCACAGTGAAGATCTACATTACAGTGGTGCTCTTTAACCAAGTATTTCCATTTCTGGCTCTCATTGCTGGTGTTTTATCTTATAGATGTTCTACGGAATGGGTTAGATCTTCACTTGCCCTGAACAGTTGCTCAACATGCTCACAATTTTGAGACCATCTGTGTTAATCAAGGGCAGAACTTGGACTGCCATGCCAGAATTTGGCAACTTTTTTGCAAGCATAGTTTTTGGTTTAACCCTCAGGTTCAACATCTAGCTGATATATATAGAAATTACTTTCTGTGGACCCAACTCAAATGAATCTGAGGGAATTATTATTTGCAACTGATTGCACTTAGAGTTGCAACACAGTGGAGAGTGGTATTTTTCCTTTTTGCTTTTTTCCCCCTTGTTGCCTTTGGAAATTTCACAACCGTCAGTTAGCCAGACTGAGTCCGAGCTGAGGATCTTGCAACACTGGTTCATCAATGCCACTGAAAAACAAATCTGTACAGTGTCATAACTTTCATTGATCCACCAGGTTGGATCCAAGCTGATAGCAGATCAGATGAGAACTCAGGAAAAAAAAAAAGTCAGATCTCTTGATTCAGACTGATGAGGACTTGCAGCCTGGCAGCACATCAGGTTTCTGGCTAGCACAGAGACCCAGGGCCCAAGGCTTCACCCAGAACTAGCTCTGGCACAGTGCAGTAAATCAGGCATGTCCCACCACAAAGAGAAGGATTCTCACATCCTGGGACCTGTGGGGCACAGCCAGGAGAGGCTCTACAGCCATGTTATAGTGCAGGGCCTCAAAGCTATAGCCCAGGCCACAGACCCAGATGCCATTCATCTAGATAACCCCATATAATCAATATTCACTAGTCCTGCTCTTGCCCAACAAGACAAGCTCAGGAATGCTCTCATTGATGCTTTTGGAATATGTGACCTAGGAGCTGTTGGTTTTGTTTGCATTTTCCTCTTTATTTGCTCTCTGTTACTACATTAATGTAGTTCTCCCTACATGTACCATAGCCTGGATCCGTCCCATGGTCCTGTTAGTGATGTCACCAGCAGGGTTATGACCACTTGTGACAGGACATGCTAAAACAACACTTCAGAAGATAAGGAAGCCACTGGGGGGACTGACATCCTGGAGGCAGAAATCCCACTTCTGTGTGAAATGTCCCATGTCAGTAAACCTTTAAAGAAGGGAGAAAAATGTAGAGCTTAAGGAACTCTGCATCAAGCACTGGATTTTCCTTTATATCTCATTCCAGGCTCAACAGAGAGACAAAGGATCAGGGGCTTCATGTTGACTTCGTCTCTTTCATTCTGTATTCATGAAGGAAACAACTGAAAACATGAGAACTGACCTTTCCTAGAACCCCTTCCGCTTTTCCTGGAAATCAGTCTTCAGTCACATGATAGGGTTTTGCTGCTCTTTAGGAATTCCAGATCCTGAATGAGGCAGACTGTAAACAAGGAAACCTGATACCTCAAGGACAGAAGGAGAGAACAAGATGTCCATAGACACACTGGAGTGTTTTCAAGCATTGCAATGTGTTCTGTGGCTTGTTTATAAATGTGACTCTAAATGTGTCTCTGTGTGTATATACACACATATATACACACACTCCTACAGAGTACATACTATTGTTTTTTCTCACACATCAATGTGATGGTTTGGCATTTAAGAAAAATCTACTACAATCACTGTGAGCAGAGAGACTCAGCCATAAACAAAGTGACATTCTCCAGGACAGGCCCTTCTTTTTCAGCCCAGTCCCAACCACAATTTTGTGTCTGCAGCTCTGTGGTTTGATACCCAGTTATTTTCTAACATAAGGCCAAGATTGCAGGGCCCTGTTTGTGGGTGCAAGCAGGTATATGAGTACCCACAAGCTACCACTCAATACCAACCTCTCTTGACAAGCTGGCTACTTAAAACCTGTCTGGCTTTTAAGGAATGTATCTGACTTTTTGGTTGCTGGAGAAGAGACATGGGGTAGGCAAAGAATTTTTTTGGCAAATAAGAAGTGTGGTTAAAAAAGAGAGGGCACAGATTCTTCAAAATGCACAAGGAGAAAAAAGAAACTTGTGGAATCAGGGTAGCAGCTGAATTGGTACACCCCAAGGGAAAATGAGAACTGCAGGAGAAGCTGAACCTTTACACTAGAGCATGTTCTTTTTCCTCCAAGTCAGATGCAGTTTGCAGTCCTGTGCCAAATATTCACATTAACTACTAGGAGCTCCTTATTTCTAGGATATTTTTATTCTTAATATTAAACATTTACCCCTTATCAGAAAACTACCCTTAAACCTAATGCAGCTGGAAATCAGTCAGAAACAGGGTCAAAAATGGCTTATTCACCCTCCATTTATAACAGACAACTTTCAGACAGTTGGAGACAAATATTTGTTAACAAGAACTTCCCAAGTGAGTTAATTTCTTGCCATTTGCAAAATGTTGATTAAGGAGCCCTGCTTACTCAAGTCTGTTTTGGAGGCACAGCTCTGAGTGGTACTGTAAGAGGAACACTCACAATCACAGCATCCAGGCCATTAATTAAAGCCTTATAAAATCCCAGCAGAAATGACTGGAAGGATTCCCATTGATCCATTAGATTTTGGATAAGTCTTGAAATACAACAACTCAACTGATAAAGACAGAGACCTCTTCCCTCCCTTGCAGCTTTTTTCCTGCTATTTGAATCCTTTGTATGTCAAATGCCATCAGGATCAGTGGCCAAAATCTCTGCCAGAAAGGAAAAGTGTCTGGACACTTCAGGATTGGTGTTAGGGCTCGGTTTGAGCTGCCAGGTGCTGTGTCTCCATCTTCCTTTTGTTGTGGGATCTCCAAGGTCTTGCAATCCCAACATGAGTGTGCCTGTACTTCACAGAGTAAGGAAAGAGCCCTATGGCCAGTTTTGCCATATCCAACTGAAACGGGCTGAGCTCTCCTGTGTGAGCTCTCTCAGTGTGGGTAGTGACCTCTGGGTATTTATCTGAACAACTTCACATAACAAAACTGTTTGTTTACACTGCATGTGGAGCCACCTTGTAGAATCTTTTCTCAGTCCTCTCCATCATCAAACTCTGCTTTAGCCGAGGAAACACCAAGACCAAAATAGTGAAGAGGTGTAAATCTGAAACTACTGGAAAGAAAAAGCTTCCATCATCTCAAGGACTCTGGCAGTGAAGCTTCTTGATTAGGCAGCTGCTGGGAACTCATTTTGTTCTAGCCCTGAGCTAAGCACCTGCCAGGCCATTTCCCTGCTGCAGTTTTACTTTCTGTAAAAATAGAACTAATTATTAGATGTCACTAATACAATTTATACCCATCTTAAGAGGCCTAATAAATAGTGGCAAATTCGTGAGGAGATACGCTTAGACTTGAAATACAATGTTAATACTAATCACATAATTGAAAAATTCAGCTCCCCTGGAAAATCAGTGGGGTTATGATGTTCCTGTTTTTCCTGCTGTCCAAGTACAGCTACACAAACAACTCTCTGTGACTTTGCCATCCAGCAACGAGCTGCCTCTGTGCAGTTGGATACACCCTTGGATAAATGTCAGCGTGCTTCCTTGGCCATGGAAACATGGGAAGATGCTTTCTACCCTCTGCAGTGCCATGGTGGGCAGCTGGACTCTTACTGGGACAAGCCAGAAATCAGCTCAAATTTATCTTGCTCATGCAGTCATAGCCTGAAGCTGCTGCAAAACAATTCTGGTCACAGATTTTCATCTCTGGATCCTCTGGAGATAGTTCTAATGGGCTGAAACATCTCAGAGGAAGATTAAAAAAAAACCAAAAAACAGCCAACAGCAATATCTTTGGCCAGTCAGCAATTTTTTTTTCCCCAAAAATCCACCAGCATGTGGATGCCTGATAGTTTATGTCCTGATATTTTTGATATTTTTCTCTCCTATCACTTATAACTGTGAATCCCCTCATTAGTCATACTGCACTCATTCCAGCACATAATTTAATCTTTCTTCATCAAAACACCGTTTAGACAAAGATGATCTGATTTGAAATGTGGCTGCTGTCATTGCTTCCCTCTCTGCTGTATTTGTTCGCTGCTCTATTCTTTTTTTAGGTAGTCGTGCCAGGTAGCTTTTGATGAGTAACGTGCTGTTCATCTGTTGCTGTCATGTAGCCAACAAAGCCCCAAAGATGCCATTAGAAGTAAAAATAAAGCCCATTGCATGATACTGAAATAATCTTTTCTGCATGAGTGTGAGCTCTTCCCCATCAGACAGTTCTTTTCCCTACCATTCTCTTAATCCCTCTCAAGAAAATATCTTATTTGCACAAAAAGGAAGCACAAATCCCCTAGAGTTCATTTGAAAGAAGCGTTAGAAGAGTAATTGCAGATAAAAGTTGCTAGAGAGGGTGCAGAATACTGCACAGCTGCTTAGAGAGGCAAATTGTCCACACTGAGCTTGGTGTGAGCATGACTCTTTCTTGGCTGAAAAGTCATGTATGCATCATGGATGTTTGTAAACATAAGGTAATTTATGTCATTGATGAAAATGTGTTTGCAAGTAAAGGACTCAGCTTCAGAAACCTGCTGTGTTGCCTTGCTGGTCAGAAGTGGCCAGCAGAATGCACTGTACGTGCAGCACAGATAGAATCTGCATCATTGCTCAATGCCCACAGGGCCAGGGTTAATAAAGCAAAAGGGAACAGAGCACCAAAGCACTGCTGATATCTGTATGTGCACCAGGGACCATTTCATTGGCTTTGTGGAGGAGTTTTCTGTCATGTAATTGCTCAATATCCGAAGCAGTACTTGATACTGCTTTTCCAGAGATCTACAGTTCCAACCAGAAAAATATATAGACTGACAAAAAGGGCAGTGTTGGGAAAGTCATAGCAGGAGTTGCAATGAAAAAGCAAGTAGCCAAAGAAAGAAATTCAGTAATCAAGCAATATGACATAAAGTTTGGTCTAGGATCTCAAATGAAACTCAAATTTTGAATGTTTGGATAGCATGGATGTAATTCTGGAAGGAATTAATGGATTCTGATTTGAAGTGGGCTGCAAATTATTCCTATCACAAAGGTAGGAATGAAGGTTAAGCATCTGCCTAACGTTTTGTGGCAGACAATTAAGCAAATATGGACTTCTGGTGACTCCTGCATGTGAAACCAGTTCCTTTCAGCAGGTACGTCCCCCTTGCCTAGAACAGTAGTCAAATTTGTGAGGACACCCATGGAGAAAGAACTGCTGTTCAAGGGAAAGTTTTAAACAGGAATGAGAAGGAAAAGAAAACTGCTGTGTCTTGGTCATAGCAGAAGTGGAGCTGGGGGTGCAGAAGGATACAAGACTGGAGTGAGCAGGGCTGTCAAAACAACACCCAGCCATCTCTGGAAGGAAGGCCTGGGGCACCCCCACGTTCCCTTCTCTAACACACAGGGAGAGAATTTAGGATCTGAACTAGAGGGGGTAGGAGAAGGAGGAGGAAAGAGAGACACTTGCAGGCCAGATGTGACCAACATTGCCCCCCAGAGTCAGGTCCAGCTGGGGGAAGGAAGGAACCTGGCCAACCTGGGAGTCAGCTGTAATTTTCACAACCACATGGCAGGGTCCCTGCCCAGCCTGAGGGCAGAAGCCTGGAGGTTTTCCTCCAGCAGCCAGGTCACCTTTTCATTTCTCACCCTACACTGACAACCTCCTCTTCAGCATGATGTGCTGTCACAAAGACACAGAAACCAAGCCAGACACTGCCAGATTTAGAGAGCTTTGAGACAGCCACGTAGTCACACTCATGTTGGTGAAGGAGCAGTTTGAATCCATCTTTCACAAAGTGGCCTTCCATGGGACAGCGGCTCACAGCACTTCTCTCTAGCATGGGCTCACAGAGGGTCTCAGCTGGGCCTGGCTGGGCCTGACACAGTTTGTCTTGCACATGTTTTAACCAGCAGAACAGAGCTTCCTGAGCTCTCTTGTACAGGCCAGAAACAACCCTCCCAAGCAGAGCTGTCAGGGATGTTAAACAGAGTGAGGAGGCGAGAGGGCCCAACCTGACACGGGCCAGAGCCGCTATTTTCAGGGTCAGATCAAGAGCCTGAGGGCTGGGCTCGGACTTAGGAAATTTCCCTCCCAGTACTACTGGACAGAGTGAACAGGCTCTGCATTGTTCTGCATCTTAGGATGTGGCAGGGGCAACAGGAACCCTCTGCAGAAGCTTTTTATGACAGGCAGGAAAATCTAAGGTTCTCCACAACTGCTTGAATGAGCAAGTGGCTGTCTTTGCTGAGTTTGCATTTGTTCTTCTCAGCAGTGCTAGATTGCTGTTCTACTACAGCCCAATGGCTGATGATAATAAAATAATGCAGAATTTGGACTGCTCATTATTACTTCTTTGGAAAGTAATTGTAAGTATATGTACGTGTTCTCACACATATACATGCACACACATGTGCACGTATATATGCTCACATATTGATACCCTGCATATCCTCTGTAAAAAGCAGGGAGAAGAAAATAATACTTAAAGACACTAAATAATGAGTCACAGATTGTAGGGGCTTAACCCCTTGTGTTGCCACTAACAACAGAAGCACTTTTGCCCTCAGTGGGGTGAAATGTCTACTGTAGTGTTCTGTGTGGAATCTATGCTCAAACAGTCACAGACTCATAGATCCTTA